AATTAGGACAAATTATTAACTAAGAACTCCAGCTGACAATATGGCTTTATCCAAGGTGTTCTTGACATAGATATTTAAACTGTTAATTTAAACATCAGGACTTGAGAAAATGTAGAAAGAGAAAATAATTGTAAGTAATTATAAGTGAAGGACAAACACTTCAGGTGGGTATGAATGAATCCTGCCAAATAGAAGCAGTTAAAATTTGCTCTGTTATCTACACAATATGTATAATTGAAGGCCACAAAGTCTATATGTATTTCCTACTTGGGATATTCCTCCTCAACCTTTTCCTCCAAAAACAGAACCAGAAATCTTATTTTTCTTCGTGTAATTTAAAGAACATTCATACTGATTTCACTGTTTTTACTGACGGTGGAATTTTGATGAATGAGCAGAGCAGGAGACCTATTAACTGTGTCCATAAATCACAAATCAACAGAACAGATTGATCATCAGAACCCGCTTCCAGCTCTCTTCTTAATCTTCTGCATACCGCACAGTGTTCCTCCATTCTCCCATGCAATTTTAATTTTAAACCAATTTCCATTTCCTACTCAGCAAGTTTTTACAAATTTTCCCTCCTGCCAGCTGTTGTATATTCAATGATTTTAAATGAATCTTTATGATAGCTTCAGAAAAACTTGATTAGAAAGCTAAATAGCCTGCAAATTGTTCACTGAATTTTGAAACAAAACTGAAAAATTGCAGCTATTAGACTTACTGCTTCTGTTTTTATAGATAACAGAGTTTATTGAATTTTGTGATGTTATTTTAAAAAAAATTCAATGAATAGCTTTTATGGAACTCCATTGAAATAGTGTAATTGAAAGAAAATGTGGCAATCAGAAATCTAATTATATACTTTTTGGTACTGGATGTTAGTGAATGACTCATATTTATTTATTCTGGCAGACGATCTATTAATGTAGTAAATAATAACAGAACAATTTTGAGAAAGAAAAAAGAAAAGCCATGATTTTTAAATAGATGTACACACAATTGTAGTTGTGAAGCCACAGAATTATGGCTAAAATGTATAGAAGTGTTTTTAATTTCCAGTCTTTGGTGAAAATTTCTTGATTCAAGCTTTTTGTTTTTAAAATGGTGTTTTTCTTTTATGCCCACAGCAAAGATGTGAAAATGGTATCAAAAACAGATGTCATTGAGGGAGACTGGTAAAGATGGATCAGCATGGTTTGTGTAAACTTGTCAGAGTGTTGTGACAGAGAGAAGAGCAGTGATTTGGGCATTGGATAATTCCTTCCTGGAGCCTACTTGTCCCCAGGGACAGACATAGTTTTCATAATATGTGTGCACTGGTTTTCCGGGACTGCTGTATCCATCAGAATCTATCTTCTAGTTCTGGGGACCATAGTCTAAAATCTGGGTGTCACCACAGGGGATCCAGGGGAATCTGTTCCTTGCCTCGCCAGGCTTTTGGTGGCTGCTGGGATTCCTTGACTTGTAGCCTCATCACAATCTCTGCTGAAGTAGTCACTTTACCTTCTTTCATGTCTTCTCTGCATGTGTTTTTCTCTCTCAAAACTCCCCCGTGGCCTCCGTGCAAGTCTTAACTTAATCACAAATTTTCCCCTATGAGGCAATATTCACAGGTCCCAGGGATTTCACATGGGCTTCTTGATTTTTTTCCCCATTTTTTTCTTTTCTTTTCTTTCTTTTTGCCTAACACAATACAGTAAAGCTGCTTCATAGGGCCTTGGGTCACTAGACCTTCTGTCAGCCAAAGTTTTGAGCTGGCCTCATGGATGGCTTCCCTGTGTGAACTGAGATATTAGACTCATTGTCTCCTAGTGCAATGGTATGAAAAAGAGGAGGTAGTCTCAGTGTTACCCATATTATCAGAAACCCATCAGTGTTTACCCACAACATGGTGCTCTGTGATTCCTGCACACTTCACAGCAAAATAATGAACCATCATCTAATACCTACAATATATAATCAGATTTCTTATTGCCAACATTTTTTAATGACACTATTTCAATGTAGTTCCATAAAAGCTAATCATTGAATTTTTAAAAATTACATCTCAGGATCAACATGAATCTGAAGAGTAGATGATAACTGAATGTGGTGTCCTCCTTGAGATTTTCAGATATTCTAGAATAGTGGGTAGAGGACAAGACACGAGCAGGTAGACAACACAATCACCTCTGTGAGATGCTGTAAGTGCAAATCACCCCACATTTGGTTGTTCTGTATTTAGTGACCCAAATTTAAAAGATTATTGATGGTAAGATACTAGCACTGAGATATTGGGTAACACAATAGAAAACACAGGAAAGGGTGAGCTTGTAACACCTATGTGCTAAGCACTGGAGAATTAGTTGCTACTGTGGTCAGAGCTTGTTTATACTTTCTAGTCTCACTTCTTTCTGCATCATATTTTTTCATCCATTTTATTATTATTTTTGAAGGTAGCAGTTTCTTCTGTGCTAGTCCACATGATCTTTTCTTTTAAATATGAAATTAGGAGTCCAGAAAATGTGCTGCTTGCTAACTGGGCATCTTGGAAACAGTCACTGCTCTTCTCTTGGTGGCAGCTTACTCATCTATAAATGGGACTGTAAACATCAACCTCACAGGCTAGTGTGTCTGTGAAGTGAGATGATGCATGAAGAGGGGCACTGTCTCTGTCCTTACATAAGAATTATTGCAGATTTTGTGTCACATGGCTTTATAGTCTGGTCTTTGGTCTTAAGCATTCAGTCTAGTGCTTGGTTATATGATTTTGTGTTTTTTAAATACAAATATTTTTATGTTTCCTTTCCACCAGGTTATTTATGGTTTAATGGTATGGACTATGTTGGTACTCCATGTTCCTTGAACCTACTCTCTCAATAACTCAGTGTCACTAGGGCAGTACCAATAGCTCATCCAGTTCTTATCTGAGAGGAGCCTTGGATGTGGTGTGAGGCTTGGACATTTGCTCTTTGGTCTGTGGTAAAGTTTGTAAATGGTGATGTTAAAGCCTATAAAAAATGACAAAAAGACTACTCCCTGGCCCCCACCTAATGACTCTGTTAGTAGATGTGGGATAAGCCCAGGAATCTGTATTTTAAAATACAATAATATAACTTATTATTATGCTTATATCATTTAATTTTTTAAAAAGTAAAAACTTAAAAAACTAAAGAGAAAACATAAAATTCATGACATGACTATCACTGATCGTGGACAAAAATCACATTAGGTAAAATTTTAGAGGGGAAAAGTTTTATCCACCATTTGGCTATGCAGTGTATCTTTGTGACTCTTATATCACATGTCTTTCTATAGAACTCTGGAGTGGTGCTTTGTCATTTGCATCACGGTATTGATGACGGCAGCAAGGTGTGGGTCACCTCTTCCCTCACACTAGGCAGACAGAATGTCCGCTTCTTAATGGTGGGTCTTATCCTAAGGCATGATTCCTACCCTTATAACTGACAATTTGCCTGGGATTTGTATCAGGTTTCACAATCCAGTTACTCCCTTGTCTGTTGTGCCTGTATCCATGGCCAAGCCCTCACGTTACTTCCACTTGAAGTTGGGTAGACCGAGTTTCCTCCTGCCCCTCCCCACCAGGAAACTAAGCTGGAAGGATATTTTTAGCATACACTCCAGATGCTTTTGAGCAGGCATAGGAGAAACACCAAACAAGAATCAGACAAGAACTGATTGTTCAGATTTCTCTGTATCAGGTAAGTTCCATTTGTGGAGCTAGGAGAGGTGGTTTAAAAGAGGACAGCAGAAAATGAGCAATACAGGATGTTCTTGGATGAGGAAATTGGAGCTGGAGTTGATTCACTTGAAGTGTGTTCCAGGAGTTTGCTTTTGGAGCTGTGTTGAACACTGTGCCCACTTTCAGCAGACATGCAGTGCCAGTGTGCATCAGACCCTGCACTAGATCCTGTACACAGCGGCCTCATTTATTCCTGGTTATCTGGAGATGCCCAACAGATGCCCAATGTTCTTGTTATTGTATGGCACTTAGCAGAATAGGTAGCTATTTACAGACCTTGATAGCCAAATCCTATTGCCATTCTTGAATTAGTCTTGGAGATTTGGATGAAGCCACTGAAATATTTTAGACACAGAGCTCAGACATTTATGAAGATATAGATGACAGAGGTTTAGAGTGAAGTGATAAATGCAATACAAGTACCTTCTACTAATATTTTAAAATCTGATTTTTTTATGGTACCAAGATAAATTTTTCTAAGTTATCTCTGTTGGATTTAGAATGCCATATGAAGGAAGGTCAGTGTTATTTCCACAAACTGAGTCTTTGTTAATTCATGACTAGGGGAAATGAAAAAGTGAGGACACATCATCTTTTCATTGCCACCAGCTAAAATGACCAGCCAATAAGATCACTCTTAGAACACTGCTGGTAGCTAACAAATGTGCTGTGATGTTAATAATAGTTTAGAGATTGTTACATTATAATGAACCCTAGAGTTTAATTCATTTCATGTTGGGTCCAGAGAAGTCAAGTGACTTTCCCAGGGTCATACAGCTTGTCCCTGGAAGGACCATTATTCCCTCTATGTTCGTATTCCTTGTACTCCACTGTGATTTACAAAACATATAGCTCTGAGGGAGTGTGCATTCTATTTCTAAGGGCATATAATCAATACAGATAAATAGAGATATAAAAATTCTTTCCCCAAACCAGCGTACAATAGGATGAACAGGGCAACAGGAGGAGGGAATGCTAAAGTGGAGATGTTGGCACATCTGGGTGAGTCAGGAGACTGTCAAGGGGGTGTGCTCTGCAGGCCAAGGTCATTCATCTCAGGAGAAATAAAAAGGAAAAAAACCCACAACAATAACATCATTCTATAATGTGTTCCAGGTAAATAAGAGCTTTGCTCTTGAGAATATAAGACCCAGGAGCAGAAGATTGGTGCGTGGAGGAAGGGAGAGGGGAGATGGCCACCCTCAATCATGGGCCGGGACCCTAAGGCTTCAGTGTGTGTCAAGCTGGGACTCACGTTAAGTCTGGAGTCACTCTGTCTGGATCGTTTTTCTGCCAGGAGATCTTTGACCGTGTGCTTCACTCTCACGCCTTGGTATACTCGTTTGCTGTAATCTCCTGGGACTTAAGCAAAGAGGATAGTCAGTCAGATCTAGATGGGGTAGTAAGGTCAACCTCCCAGGGATGTACTCAGGGTTAATAATCTTGATGCCGTTTTCCCATTCAAATAGTAGAGATCTGGAATATGAAGTGGCTTCAGTAGAGTCCAAACTCTGGTCCTTGATGGAAACTCACCCAGGCTCTGTATAAGTAAAACAAGAAACACTCTGTGTCTTCTGCACAAGAGCTCTTTAAAATGTCCTCTTTTTTTCTACTTTGATTTGTCAAGATTTACTCCAGCAAGATTGATAACTTAGGTTTTAATCACCAGATAAGGGATTGGATAGAAATTGAAATAATGATTCTTATTACATGTAGAAGAAGTTAGATTTGCATGACTCAGGTCACAGGCTGTTTGGCTGTCCCACATCTTGGTACCTGATGAAGGAGCAGGTCAACTGGATGATCATTCCTAAGAGGAAAGTCATTTATTTACTACACTAAAAGAGTGTGCTTTGTTTTTAAAAATATGGTGACATGAGGAATTACTGCTTTAAAACTAGCCAACAGTAAGGGAAGAGTTATTTGTTCACTTAACAAATAATTTTTGAGCACTTGCTACATGCACTTACTGAAGATATCATAGTGATTTGCAATTTACATTGACTATTTCACTTTTAGCAAGAGGAAATTGCATGAAGATATAGAGAAAACCTATTTCATGGTTCTAAAATTTGTCAACGTCCCTTCTAGGGATTGTGAGCTCCGTGTCACTGGGGATAATCAAGCAATGGCAGGAGAACTGTTTGAACTGTTTTAGAAAGCATTTAAACACCAAGTTAGTGATTGAACTAGACACATTTCAAGATACATTTTGCCTATTGAATTGGTATTCTGTAGTAGGTTGGATGGCTTCAATCCCTTTTAATTGAAGTGTGGCTGGCTTTCCAGCCAAGTCAGCTGGGACAGAATTTAGCATCAACATATATGTCAGAAGTTATTAGTATATAAATGTATGAAGCACATAACCAAAAATATTCTCTAATCTGAATTTACGGATACTTGACATACAAATAAAATTGTATCACAAAAAGAATGAGAGGAGGAAAGAAAGGGAAAAAAAAAACAAACAAAACAAACAACAACAAAATAACTGAAGTTATAACCAGAGGCAGGGTGGTGCAGTGGGTGGGGGAAGTTGATGGCCTGAGTCAGGGTTTACACAGCTACATGTTAGTCACTGACTTGGGGAAAAAAAAATCACAATTTTTTCAGTTTCATTTTTCCCCCTGTTAAAATGGATATGATCTCTTTTTTGCTATATTCAGAGGTTTGTAAGTAAAAAATAATATATGCATATGAAAATGCTTTGGAAACTACCAAGTTTCTGGGCCTGTAAACCCAGGCAGTCCTGGTTGAGCAAGAAGGAGAGTATCCAAATGATTGATGGTAGGTGTGGACTTGGGGCTGTGGAGGAATGGGGAGGAGGGCAGGAGTTGAAAAAATCTATGTTCCAAAACATAATTCAAAGAAAACCACATACAACCTGATTTAAACAAAACAAAATTATTTGAAGGGTCCTTTGGCCTAATTTTGGTATGTCTGTCTTTTGTGTGTGTGTGTGTGTGTGGTGCTGGGGTTGAACCCAGGGCCTTATGCATGAAAAGCAAGCACTCTATCACTGAGCTATATCCCCAGCCCCTGTCTGTGTTTTAATTAAAGAGGCTTGAAGTACTCCTTTCAAATAAGTCTCAAACATAAAACACAAAGACCAGAGGTTTGTTCCAAAGGAATCTAAATGTTGCTTCTAGAATTGAGAGTATCTTATTTATTTATTTTTTGAACAGCCTAAGGCTACATTTATTTATCAGTTATTTATTGACTATTTTCTATGTGTTGACAGAATACAAAAGAACATGGTATCTATTGGAAAAGAAATATATTATAGATAATTGTGATGCTACAATAGAAATAAGGCTAAGATATTCTGAGAAACAGACTGCGCCGCTTCCTGGGGGAGCAGGGAGAGGACTGGGACAGCTTCTGAGCTGAGGCTTAACAGAGAAGGCCTGGGGGAGGTGAAACCCTAGGAATGGGGCCTGACCTTCTAGATGACTCTAGAAGGCAAGAACATTCCAGATGTACAGGCAGCCTGGGTAAAGGTCTGGACTGCAGAACAGAAAGAGGTGTGAGGGAGGAAGTGAGGCTGGGGAAACAAGTAAGGTTTAACTAACCATGGTGTTTCTGGTATACAGGAGCTTGGACTTCATCCTGTCGGCAATGAGCCACTGGAGGCTCTTAAGCTAGGGAGTGGTGTAGTTAGATTTGCATTTTGGATAGACTCTTCTGGCAGCTGTGTGGAAGGTAGATTTGAGAATCATAAAGACTCATAGAGATCAGTCAGGAAGATTCTGGAATAATTCAGGCAAGAGGTGCTGGGGTCTGAGATAAGCAGGCAAGGATCAGATAGGTGTAAAATTATGTAGGTATGGGAAAGAAAGGAGAGGGAAGACTCCAGGTGATTTTCAAGCTTCCACTATGGCTCTAGGATGTAAGTTTCAGAGTCATCATGACACTGATGACAATTGAAACCAGGGAGGAGGATGGAATCCCCAAGGGAGCCTGTGACAGTCACATGATGACATACGGAGAAAACAATAATGTGTCTGGCACTCTGGGATAACAGGCTGGGGTACTTGCAAGGGCTGAGAGGATCAGCATCTAGGGAAGGCCCTGAGCACTGATTTCTGACAGGTTGGTTGGGAAGCTCGGTACTGAATGATTCAAGATGGAAATCTGGGGAGCACTTCTATTTGAAGGGCTGTCAGAGGAGGGGAAGAAAGCCTTATGAAGAGGACACGTGAAGACTGTTGGAAAAGATCCAGTAAAAGCCAGGGGGAATAAGGCACGTAGAACTTAGGCAGAGACTTCCAGGGGATGGGGGGAAGGAGGAAAAGTATTGGATGCCAGTACAAGTGGTCTAGGAAGATAAAGATGGAAAAGCATCCATTGCTTTCAATCCAGTGGCTGGTGTTGACCTCAGCAAGAGTGATTTTGGAAGTGTGCATGGCTAGAACCCAGGCAATAATTCAGGGGAGGAAGTGGAAACAGGAGAGAGAGAGACGACTACTTCTTGAAGTTTGAATGAGAAGGGGAAGCAAGAGATTGGGTGATGGTTGGAAGGAATTACATTGTCACAGAGAGGTTTGCTTATGCTTTATAACTCTGTGTATTTATCAGTAGTGGGAATTGAGGATATTTGAATGGAATGGAGGGAAAGACTTAAGATTTTGGAAAAGGGGAAAAATGAGAGAAGGAGACTTCAAAGAGGAGTATAGTGGAATCAAGGACACAAATTGGTCCTCAGCCTCTGACACTAAAATAAGGAAGGGTGGGTGGTAAGTGGGGAAGAATGGTATTGCCAGGGACTAAGACAGCCCCAATATACATGCAGCAGCCTGGAGGAGGAGAGTAACTCAGACACTCAAGGTTGGAAGAAGGCAAGGGTCAGAACCAGAAAGATGAGTCAAATCAAGAATAAGCACAGGTGATTCTCAAAGTTTGATTCCTAGACCTTCAGTATCAACATTGGCTAGAAACCTAGTAGGAATGTAGATTCTCAGGTCCTACCCCAAAGCACCCTAGAAACCTTAGGAATGGGTTTAACTAACCATGGTGTTCTCTGAAGTTTGAGAACTACGAATATCTTTATGAGTGAGGTTCCTGTGTGTGGCAGAGTGTGTTGGGCAGGGGGGCAATTCTAAATTCAGGCAGTTCTGGTTGAGCAAGAAGGGGAACATCTGAGTGATTGATAGTAGGTGTGGACCTGGGCCTGTGGAGGAGGAGGGGGCGGAGTTGAAGAAGAGGTCCAGGCTGGGTCATTTGTGTGTTCCCAGACAGTCTTGGCTTCCCTTTATGCTGAAAGGCTTTTTAAGTGATGACTTCAATCTGAATTAGTGATTCATACTTTCTGTGTATGCCAAAGAGCTTAGGGGAAATATGCCTCTTCTAAATAAGTTTAAAAAATAACTACATAGTAATTAATAGAGGAATGAAATTTACAAGATGGCAAATAACCAGATCAGAACTTCTTGTAGACATAGATGAACTTCAAATGGATAGCCCAGCTCTGACCTGGACTTGAGACTTGGATATCCACCTATATTTGCATGTCCGTAGACATCTCAAATTCTACATGTCCAAATCTGAACTTTCATTCTGGTTTTACCTGAAGTCCTCTCCACCTCGGTTGATGGCAACTCCATCCTTTTAGTTTCTCAATTTCAAGGCTGGAGTCCTTTACAACTTCACAACCATTTTTGGGGAATACACAATAGGGCCACCTACACAATAGATCCAGAGTCTGCTGACTTATCTTCACCTCCATCTCTAATATCCAGGTTCTCTCTATTGTCATTTAATGGAGATTATTGCAGGAGCCTTCTACTGGTCCTCCTGTACTACCCTTCACCCCTGGTTCAGTCTGCTTTCAACAGAGCAGCCATAGTGATCCTTTCAAAAAAGAAAGTCCAGTTTGGTCACTGCTCTTTTCAAAATCCTACAGTGGTTCTTCATTTCACTCAGAGTAAAAGCCACAGTCCTTAAAATGGTCCTATGTGACCCTATGCTTATACCTCTGTTCTCGTTTCCCAAGATTCTACTCTTTGCCCATTGTACTGTAGCCAGTTTTCTGAAATGTACCAAGCACTTTTGCCTTGAGACTTTGCACTGGCCACGTCTACCAGCTAGAATATTCTTCCTCCTTTTATCCACATGGCTAACTGTTCTTTCCTCCTTCAAGTCTTGGCTCAAATGTCAGCTTCTCAATGAGAACATATTTCAGGTTGCACCTTCCTCATAAAATTTGCTTGATCCCCCTTATCCTGCACTACTTATTCCCATGTAGCACTTGCCACTTTATAAAGTTCTGTAAAATTTTTGTATGTAGAGATTTATTGTTTGCTCCTTGCAAGACTCTTAAGTTCCACGCAGCTTTCCAGTAAACATCTGTTGAAAGCATTTTGTTGTTGCTGTTGATAATGAGGTGCTGAAGATCTTAAAAACCTGACTATATAAATATACGTAGGCATACATTGCTTAGAGACTGGAACGTGTTCTGAGAAATGTGTCGTTAGGTGATTTCATCATTGTGCAAACACCAGAGAGTGTACTTATGCAATTTAAAATGACTATGATGTCACTAGGTGACACAATATCATGGAAGCGCTGTCCTTCATGCAGTTAGGGCATGATTATGCTTTATGTCATAGGTGATGGAAACAATTAGATTTTTTTCAACATAAGAATATTGTGTATCATATTTTTTGGAAGAGTTGAAAAATTTTTTGAAAGATGGATCTGAGCGTAGATCCTAGAATGGCTAAAGATGAAGAAGTGGAGGGAGTAAGAAATTACAAACAGAGGCTAGCCTCAAACCTGGATGTGACAGGGAAAGGGCAGATTTAAGAGAAAAACAACAACAAAAACAACAACACACACACACAATAAAACAACACCATGATTAAGAGGAGAAATCTAAGAAGGCAGAGTAGAGTGTTGATTCTGATAGGGAAAGAAGAATTCAATTTTGACTATGTTGACTTTGAGGTTGTGGTGACATAATCAAATTAAATTAAAAATATCCCGTACCTAAAACTAGAACCTGGGCTAGAACTCTACATCCAAGAAACATCTTAAAAACTATGAGAATTAAAGCAATGAAAATAAAGTTTTCCAAGGTGGACTTTGCAATAGAAGAGTACAGTTCAAGTACAGAGCATTGGGAAATGGCTGCAGTTCTGAGCCCAGGGGAAGGAAGGGACGGAGAAGGGCCACTGTGGGAGGGGTGCAGGGTGGGGGAAGGGGCAAGGCCCAAAAGGTCACTGTGTACCAGAGCAGAAACATCAAGGGAATGAAGGAAGAAGGATCAGAGAGCAAGTGGGTTACCACCAGTTCTGTTATGCATCTGACACCCACGTTCTCAATAAGTGCTTGTAGTATATACAAAATGCCTTAGAGAAATTGAGGAAAGTGAAGGCAAGAAAGGCCATGGGCTTAGAACTTGGGAAAGAATACTTTCATAAGACAAAGGTGGAGATGTCCTTTCTTTGGGGGTTTCATGGGAACATGGCTAAAAGGATGCTCCCATGCTGTGGTCCAGGAAGGCCAACACCTACACTTTACAACAGCTCAGAAGGGAAATTGACTTTGACAAAGCATGGAGCCTGAACAAATTATTTAAAATCCCATCTGGAGTATTTTTCATGATTTTTGAGTTTTGGGAAATTTCTGAATCTCCTTTTCTATTTTTTTTTTAAGACAGACATGATATATAGAGTTCAAAAAATATTGCCAGTATTCCTAGTCTCAAACATTTTTTTTCTGTGCATGTGTCTATTTAAAGAATCCACACCTGCATAAACCAGGAGAGCTTAAGAGTTTTTATTCAAATCCTCTAGATACAAACTTGCATTCAGATTAGTTGTTAAGAAAACAAAGACAAGTGTTTCCGGAGAGAAAGCACAAGCAAATTTATCAATAGCAATCAATTTTTCCTTTAGAATTTGGAATAAAAATTTGGCACTGTATGATTGCAATTATGTTCATACAGCAGAATGTTTTTTTATTTTTATTAGAAAAAAATATTTTATTTTTTGCAATGCTGGGGATCAAACCTAGGTCTTGAGCCTGCTAGGCAAGTGCTCTACCACTGATCTATGCCCCCAGCCCAGCAAATTGTTTTAGCCTTGTGACATCCTTAGTCTTCCCCCTTTTTTGATGGAGAGTTTAGTCCATAATAGATTTAATGCAGCTATCACTTTAATATTATTTTGAAAATTAAACATTTTTTTTGCATCAAATCACACTGGTATATTCTGAAATTGATTTAATAATTAAAATGCAGGTGATTCCTAAACCATTCTTAGTGATTAAATGGTAAGTCCACTTTCCATATTTGAAATTCATTCTAATTCTACATTTCTGATAACATTTTTGTGGAGGGCATTTTTTACTTTGAAATTCATTAGAGAGTCTAAGCTTGTGACAGAAGGTAAGGAAATAAAGAGAGCACGTGAAACAAACACAAATAAAAAAGAAAGTTACTTTAGAAAAGAAGCATTTCTATTTTGAGTTCTGCAACTGGACAATGAAGATAGTAGATGATGTCTCTGAACTTTGGCATGGAGGCACATTGTCAATCAAGACAGAACAGAGTAAAAATCCGAATGATGGGTTATTGTTGGATATTCTGCATCTTTGTTCCATTCTCTGCCTGTCAGGAAAGGGCCAACAATGAGGTTCCAGAAAATGCAGTGGCAATATGGTATGTTGGGTCACTGTCTGGCTAAGCTACTCCTCTTATCCTTTGGGGACCTCTCTTTCCACCCCAACAGGCTTGCCTTGCTGAGGATCGAGCCCTCTCACTGAGGGGAAGGCAGATGTCTGCCCGGGAGTAAATAGTACTAGTGCCGGGCATGCTAGAAGCTATTGTTTGTATTCTACTTCTGATCTAGGAAGAGAATATATTAGTTTTACTGTGGGAAACCTCCAAGGAGATACAAGGAGAGGCAACATAGAGTCTCCAAATTTGTCCACTAATTAAATGTTCAAATTATTAAATAGAAAATAATGCATACTGCTTATGAAATCAGAAAGACTGAAAATTTTAAGGATGGAAGGCCAAATTAGTCAATATATTAGGATTTAGGTGAAGTTTGGTTTGCCGACACTATTGCTATCCACAGTCTCTCCTGACATCCCCTCCATTCCCACCTTGTAAGGCTCATAGTTGGATCACAAAACAGCACTACTGCCAGTAACCAATTCCATGTTGCAGAAGATAGGTGATTTTCTAACTATCTCCTTATCTTTTTGATAAGAAGATCTGTGATTTAAAAAAATATTTTTTCAAGATAGCTTACAAAGCATTTTTGAAATATTTTATCTGTCATTATTTATTAACATTTTAAATGCTAAAGTTTATATCTCAAATTTATTCCTGAACAGGTGGGGTTTTATTCTCTATATTGACACTAATACTCGTATCTTCAGGATGAAGATCTGTATGTAGTTTGAATCCAGGAAATGAGAATCTCTTACTTATCATGTGTTAGTGTATTGCCTTTCATCCTAGCCTTAAGAGCTGAAAGCAAGATGCCTGAATAAAGGTATTTCTGGACTTCATAATTGAGGACTTAACAGAAGTTGTTTCATTTAACATAAAATTTCACAATTGTAGAGAATAGTGCATTAATATTCAGATAATAATTTTATAAAAATAATGTTAGTTAAATGGATCTTTCAGAGTACATACCTAAATTCAATACAGCAAAATTACATCTAATAATTAATAATTAAATGTGTCTAGAATTGTTAACATGTTACCAAGAGTTCTAAATAGTTGGTTTCTGGTCAGTATTTTTATATGTTCTAGTCAAAATTAGTGCTATTTCTTCTTTACCTTTGCTTTGTGTTATAATCTTGTGATGTCAAAAATAAAAATTAGAATTATTAAATTTTTAAAAAATTGTAACAATTGACCTTGACTTACCACTCTCCATTCTGGATGATTTTGGTGAATTTCCTTCTTAGAAGCAGCAGTACAGGGCCTCTGCAAATGGTGTCCACTCCTTGGTAAGGGATCTTGATCCCCTGGAGAGCTCAGCCTGATCCTAGTGGAAAAGCCTTCTGTACTCAGTGGAGATGCTTCTGAAATGACTTGCTTTGGATTTGATTAAATGCAAATCCTTTGGTGTATGTTTCTGTCCAATTTGCATCCCCAATGGAGATTGTATATGAAGGTACTTTTTTCCTCCCCAAGAAGATTTTTAATCAGTAACAATAGTTTCCATTAGGAACAGGCTCTCTTAAATGTTTATTATGAAAACAAGGCATCCATTATTTGTTTCATGAAAGCAGTGGCATTTTTTCATCCCTTTAATTTAGGGTTATATTTTTAAAAAACAGGATGCTTGTATGAAAAAGTCCATGTTTCTCGGTAGGGACTATCCTCAAGACTTAAATTATGGGTACATTATTTTTAAAAGCTGGGTGGTTTTCACTTGTAGATAAAATCCTAGGAAGTCGTCTTCATTTAGAAACAGAAGTCTGGTGGAATGAGATGAACATTGTTACCCTAGGTACTTGTGTGACTGCATATACAGTATGACTCTACATCATGTACAACAAGAGAAATGAAAAGTTGTGTTCCATTTATGTACAATGATTGAAATGCATTCTGCTGTCATGTATAGCTAATGAGAACAAATAAAAAAAAAAGAAACAGAAGTCAATAGAAGAATGATCAGTGGGGTAGACAAAGGGGAATGAAAGGGAGAGAGGAGAGATGGGATAGGAATGACTCTGACCTAATATTCCTGTGTACATATATGAATATGCCACAGTGAATCTCACCATCATGTTTATCCACAAGATGCTGATTAAAAAAATACAACTATGAGTAAATAGCAGAAAGACTAATAGAATAGAGGGAAGGGAACAGTGGGAGGAAGGAAGGAGAAGTGGATGTACTGGGGACAGAATTAGAACAAATTATAAAAATGCTTTTATAATTATGTCAAAATGAATTCTATTGTCATGTATAGTTAAAAAGAACCAATGAAAACAGAAGTCAAAACTAATGTCACAAATACAATTACATTGCCTTTTTATGATTTATGAAACAAATATAGGAGCTAGAGGTTCCTGTACTCTGCAGAAAAGGAGAATCATTTGTGTAGCTGGTTAAAAATATCTTTGTCCTGCCCCTCCTGGCAGAGTACCAAATCTTTTGAAGTAAGATTTGGATAACTACCTTTTAAAACAAACTTTCTCAGTTTTTAAAAAAGAGTCATTATGATGCATAGTTAGTGCCATGAATTCCTTTAGAGCAAAATTTAAAGAAAACAAATTTTGGGTGCTTTCTGACATTTCCCTCATTCATCTTTAACTACCTAGAGTTACTGCTTAACATCATTTTAGGTAGCAGAATACAACAGTTACTAATATGGCATTATGTAAAAATGTGGATGTGTGATCGATGTGATTCTGCAATCTGTATTTGGGGTAAAAATGGGAATTCATAACCCACTTGAATCTAATGTATGAAATATGATATGTCAAGAGCTTTGTAATGTTTTGAACAACCAATAAAAAAAAATAAAAAAACAAACAAACAAAAAAACCCCACATCATTTTGGCTTCTCCTGATTCTAAACAGAGCTAGAACCAGGTGCCTTCCTGGTTCCTCTGGATTTGTATAACACTTGTATTTCAGAGCCTCACATGGGCATCAACTAGTGATCGTTAAGCTTGATTGTATCATTTGAGACAGTGAATGTAGTGCATTCAGAGTATGTCCTAGATATCCTGGGGTCCTGCAGACTGATATTGCAAAGTCCAAACTATTTTCATGATAAAGTCAATAAATGATTTGTCCCATTTAATAATACAATTAATGAATGATTTGCCCTTTATCGTCCCATTTTTTCATGGATGCATGTGATATCTCAACAAATTGAAAGGAGAAGCAGATGTGAGAATCCAGCTGTTATATATGAAGCTGGACATTAAATATGCAAAACAAAACCTACTTTTTTCTAATTAATTTTATTTTTGGAGTTTGGACAATAGAGTTGTTTTTTCTTAAAAAAACAATGGTTATTTATACTAATAGGTCAAGCTTTATTATTGCTATATTAAATGAACAAATACTATTAAACAATATTAATTTATAATATAATAAATATATGGAGGAACAAAGTTTTGGGGGTCTATAATTTATAGAAGAGTAAAGGGGTCCTGGAACCTGAAAGTTTAACTGCTTCTCAAGACTCTTCTTTATAGAATATACCCCGTGTGTTCCTACATTTCAAAGCAAAAATCCAAAAGAAAAAAAAATAACACTCCCAAACAAAATTATCCCAATTTCTCAGTTTCTAACACCCATTTATGTTGGGAAAGGCATGTCCATGTTGATCCTGTGACCACAGTGGTTTTTATCCTTTTTCAAGCAGGCGTGCCCCAGCAGCCACCCCAGCTCATTCCTACTTACACTTCCAGCCAACACCTCTACATTCAATTAACGAAATCATTAAGGGAACTACTGACTTTCTACAGTAAATTCCCCAAGCTTATAGATTCCTTTTAGCATTTTACTTTTTAAAAAGGATGGAACATTTTAAACTTTTCAAGCAGATTAGAACCATTTTAAAGCACAGATACAACACCCCATCACCAATCAAATGAAGACCAACCTCTATAGCGTGGCGTTCAAGGCTCTCTATGACCTGGCCCCATACTGCCTTTCTACCTTGTCTGTCACTGCTTTCCTCCAAGTAGCCTGTGCCTCGGATTTCTCAAAGTGGATCTTGATCCACCTGCCTCATAGTCACTTCTGAAGCTGATAAAATTCAGTCCTTCCTGGACTTACTGAATTAGAATGCTGGCAATCATGCCTGATAACCTGCACTTTGAACCAGTCCCTCCCTTGTGTGATTCTTCAATATTAAAGGTTGATGGCTCTGCTACAACTACAATGAATTAGTCAGTGTTTTACAAGTAAGTTGCAGGCTTTTTCCCCTCTCTGTCTCTGTTCATAGTATTCTCTCAAACTAAAGCACTCTGTCTCACTTTGTCTTGATTAAATTCTATGTATCTTTCAAGATTCATCCCAAATGCCACATTTTCCTCATAGTTTGCTTGTATATTCATCAAGATTGATTTAACAGCCCATTTCCTACTTGTCCTTGTTTGAATTTCTGTAATGGTACTGATTTCATGCTATTTTCCATTTTTAAAAATGTCATTTACTCATTTATTTTATTGACATATAATAGCTGTACTTAGGCTTTCCGTTCTTGTCAGTGATTTGCATACCTATCCCTCATACCAACTAAGACTGTCTCTCATTTTTTCTTCTCTGTGCATAGAGTCCATGAGAGATGATGATTTCTAGGTATAAGCAGCAATATATAAAAGATGAAGCTTAGCAAAGGATAGTCCATTATTTTTCATGGTTAAAAAAATGTTACCATGAATATGACCTTTTTTTGCCACAAACCAAACACAACACTGAAGAGCTTGTAACCATCTCCCAGTAGATTTGTCCAGAGTCTGAAGCTCAAAGACATTGTGATTTTTCTAGAGGAAGTTCAATGCAGAAATGTCAATTCACTGCAGAAGCATTTCAGATATTCAGTGTCATCAGAAGAGGTGAAATACATTAAAGCTGAGAAATTGATTTGCAATAATTACTGGCTTGTTCTTGAAAGTATCCTCTGGTACACATGTCACATTTATTTAGAGCTCCAGTATTACTTGCGTAGGATTAAATACATTTAAAAATAAAGCCAAAGGAAGGTTGTTTTCTTATTTCAAGGAAACAATTCTCTCACAGAGTTGAGTGGATGTTGTTGCTGGAAGGATGTGGGTTGGTGATAGATTTGGCTGTTTGCTTCAGTTGCTGGTGGGCTCAGGCAGGTTGCTGGGCCACAGTAAGGCTGATGATGATCTGGGGCTGCCAACTATGAAGGAGGGAAAACAAATGTGGGTTTTGGTGAATAAACTATAATCCATAGAGTACAGACATGGTTAGTATGTGTCTTCGTCTGATAATCCTGACCACAGTGCCTCTGTGTCTACCTCCTTATTAATTCCAGGGCTGGGACCCTGCTGTGGAGGTTAAGGTATCTCCTGACAACTTGGTGGTGGCATCAAACTATCAGGGAGGCAGATGTGGTGGAGGTGAAGGTGTGGAGCACAGGCCCTGGAACAGACACACCAAGGTGGTAACCAAAGTCCCCTCATTTCCCCCACCCTGCCTTTATTCTAAGGCCATCCTATTCCCCAGGATCTAGAGGGGATGGGAGGGAGCAGTTAGGGATGCTCATTGGTTGGACCATTGGAATGTTTCATTTGAAAAGTGTCAAAGGGCTCAGGCTGGAGAATATAGCCAATAGATTATATTGCTGAACTGTAGGGAAGGTGCCAGAATGGTGACTCCAAGTCAGTGAGTTATTGAATTATTATTTAGAGAGACCTCCTTTGGATTTGTATTGGAGTTTTCTGGTTATTTAGCCATCTGGATCCTTCTACATGTGGCCAGTTTCATGACCACAGACTTTCCCTTGAATCTGGAAACAGCTGTTTTGCAAATACCATGACATTTGGGCATATTTATGGAAGCTCACTTGGAGAATAAAATGCAGATGAGAGATGGCCTTCACACTGGAGACCAGATAGCTGATATCCCTTAGTGTGGCTGGGAGAAAATTTAGTTCTAGATTTGCTGGATCAGAATAAATCACCACCAAGGGACAAATGATTACATTGATCTTAGCATTTTGTTTGGTGGCATTGGGGCAACATTTTGGGCACTGCTTTGATGAAGGACATAATTTGGGGTATATTGATCCATTGCCATGGGAGAGAAAAAAATCTGTAATCATGAGCTAGTGAAACTTTGAGGTATGCAGTTATTTTATTCACTGGGCTACACCATTCTGTGATACCCACTGTCCCCTTCAGGAGGACTTGAGTACCTTTTTGGGCCTGAGGAGAT